CTTTATCTCCTCTCTTTCTCTCTCCCCTCTTTCTCTCATCACTCTTTCTCTCCTCTCTCTCTTTCTCTCAACACTCTTTATCTCCTCTCTCCCCCTCTTTCTCTTATCACTCTCTGTCCTCTCTCTTTCTCTCCTCTTTCTCTCTTCCCTCTTTCTCTTATCACTCTTTCTCTCCTCTCTTTCTCTCCCGTCTCTCTACCTCTTTCTCTCAACATTCTTTCTCTCCTCTATCTCTGTCTCTTTCTCTCTCTCTTTCTCTCATCACTCTCTCTCTCTCTTTCTCTCCTCTCTTTCACTCTTCCCTCTCTTTCTCTCATCACTCTTTATCTCCTCTCTCTCTGTCTCACTCTTTCTTCCTCTGTCTCTCTCTCACACACACACATACAAATACATACACAGATCAAAATTGAACATACGATGTACCAGCTTGCTCTTTTGCCCTCCTGCCCACCTGTATTCTACGAACTCCTCTATCCTTCCAACAGTTAAAAAAAAAACAATTCATGCAGGTGTTTCACACAACCTCTGGAAACCACTCAGCGAGGGAAGCCTGCCGTATCCCTGAATGGATTCTTTGGATCTACTGGCTCTGGAAAATCTGCACTTACCTGCCAACAGGACCAGAAGGTGAGCAGGATTCATTTTGTCTGCGGTGAACCTGCAAGCTCAATTAAGTTCAATACCAGGAGAGTTCAACCTTTTATAGCCTTGTCATATCCTTGGCCCCAGCTGAGACGGGAGATAAGAGATGGGTGGTTTTATTGGCCTATCAGCACTCCGTCCAGGAAGGAGATAAAACCAGAGCTGTTTGCTTGCAAGAATCCGCCAGTTTTCCTCCAAGAGCTGGGTCTAGATGTTCTGGTTTTTTTGTGCAGAGACGGAAATCTGCTCTGATTTTGTCACTCAGGTGCCAAGTTTAATTCATTTTATATGTTTCAGGAAGGCTACCCAACTTTGAGTTGTGAAGGACAGCAAGATTCTCCTTGCTTAGCTCCAGGATGGGAGGCCACTAGGAAAGCCGACAGAAAGGACATCCCAGAATATCTTTTTGCCCTGAAAAATGGAATAAATGCCTCTCGTTAAATCTTTCAGAGTCTTGCTGCCCATCAATCCCCTATCAACTACTCTGTCAGGCGCAAGGAATTAGAACATTTCTGTTAATAAACCAAAGCAACTACTTTATTGTTGTTCACTTGTATTACAAGAATCTTACCAGACGGGCTTCATTTCCTTGGGAACTAGCAGATAAGTCTTGCAAAATCATGCAATGGTCTATGATGCTTCCCCCCCCACCCCGCCGCAACCTTGCGTGATTCTCATACCGGCCTGCCTCTTAACCACCCCCTCCCATTCAGCTGTGAGCCCACCACAAACTCTTCCCAATTGCCATCAGTTGTCGGCCTTGGAAGCCACATTTTATTTGGAAGCTTTGAGGCTGCCACATTTTAGTGCCTGAGAATTTGGGAGGGGGGATTTCAGGTGAAGCTAGGCAGAATCACATTTGATACCTGTACAATTAGCACAGCCCCCACCCCAACCCTAAGGCTGTGTGCTTTCTCCTCTCCTCTTCTCCCTATATACCAGTGACTGCATCTCAAACGATCCATCCTTTCAAATACTGAAATTTGATCCATTTGATCCAATGGATTGGGGCCAGTCGTAGGAGGCTTGGCTGTTGTTGGTGTGTTTTGAGATGTGGGTTGTGGAGATAGGTGGCTGTAGTTTCCTTTCAAACCTGCAGTAAAACACATTTATTTTTATTTTATTTTTATTTATTTGATTTGCCAATTGTTTACAAGATAATAAGTATAAGTGTATACATAGTTGTGAATACATGAAATGGGTATATATAAGAAAAATAAAAGAATAAGAGAAACAATAGGACAGGGACGGTAGGTTCAGGTCATCTGCTAGTTGTTGATTTCCTTCTGCCTGGGAAGGAAGTTTGCTGAAGTCAGTGATGTTTTTAAGTTTTCCACATGTTTGCTGGTTCATTTGTTGAGAACTGATGCCTTAACTTTTCAGAGTAGCTTCTTTTTGCTGCTCTGAACTCTCTTGTTAATATGTTTCTGGCCTGATTGTATAATATAAAGTTAATTAGATTTCCTTTATATAAAATAAAGGAGGTAAAGAAAATAAAAGAAAAAAAAGATTTTCTCCAGCAAAGCGAGGTTTCTGTCCCTAAACTTAGACTGTCTACTGTTGACCTCACCCCATTCCTAAGAGGTCTGTAAGGGGCGTGCATAAGCGCACCAGCGTGCCTACCGTCCCTGTCCTAATGTTCCTTTTTATTCATATCCATTTCATGTACTCATAATCATGTTTATACTTATACATGTTATGTAATACATGCTTGACAAATAATAAAAAAAATAAATAAACCGTTGCCTTTTGAGCAGGAGTTTAATTATTAAGTTTTGGAAGCCTGGGAAAATTTGAAACTCGAGAAATTTGCTGGCTGAAATGAACCAAGAAGGAAATCCATATTTTGGATTGTGTTGGAAGGGATTTTTTAAAAAAAATATATATTTTTTTACTTCCACGAAAAATGGGGTGATCTAACTGCCAAGGTTTGCAACACAATCAGGCTTGAAAGATTGCAGATTGACAGGTGGCCATAAAACTCCTTATCATCTTTGTTGTGTGTGATTTCTAGATTCGATAGAGGGGGATTTTTTTCTCCAATCTGGCCATGATCCAGAATTCAGTTGATAAAAAGACCTCTCCTTTTTTACCGAGAAGAAAAGCTTTGTTTGCTTAAAGTCTAGAAATGGCCCCCTATTCATATTTCCATGGTTGGCCTATTTAGAATCAAGAGAACTGGGGAGGAGCCTTGAGGTCATCTAGTCTTACCCCTGGTCTGTGCAGGAATCAGGATTCAAGCATGCTGGGTTTGGGCATCCAGCCTGTCTGAACATCTCCAGTCCAGGAAAGGTGATATCTACTATTGTTACTTCTTGTAACTTCAACCCAGTTAATCAACTTCCTGCTTCTTAGCCTGATGGAGACCAGGTTGATGCTACCTTTTGCAAGGTGTCTCTTTAGATGCAAATTTCCTCACTCAAGGTTAACTGCACCTCACCTCATCCTCTTTGCTTCCAAAGAACATAGAAGAACAGGGTTGGAAGGGACCTCAGAGGTCATCTAGTTTAACCCCCTGCTCAAGGCAGGAGACGTTATACCATCCGGGTCAAATGGCAAGCAAAGCCAATAGGGATTCTCTTTTAACAACCATGTTACCAATTTAAAAACTGCAGTGATTCATTTTACAAACGTGGCAAGAAAAATTGTAAAATGGAGCAAAGCAAATGCCTCACTTAGCAACATTAAATTTTGGGCTCCATTGTGGTCATAACTTGAGGGCTCCCTGTACATATGTGAAGAGAAACTTTTTTTAAAAAAAAGATGTATTGGAAAGTTTTGATTTTAGACATGTTTTTAAAGAAAGGTTTTGTCATCATGTTTTGTTATCATGTCTCCCCTAGTCCTTCTCTTTGGTAGAGTAGACATCCCCAATTCCTGCAACGGTTCTTCATATTTTAGCCTCCATTCCCCGTCATCCTCTTTGTTGTCCTTCTCTGCTCTCTTTCTAGAGTCTCAACATCTTTTTTTTTTCTATTGTGGAGACCAAAACTGGCTGCGATATTCCAGGCAGGGGTGGGATCCAAAAATCCCAGCAACCGGTTCACCGCCCAGTTGCTGGGTGGGCGTGGCCTACCGGAACTTCCGGGAGGGCTGTTTGGTTTTTTTTGCCTTCCCCAGAGTCCGGAGGCTTCCCTCGGGCTTCTGGGAGGGTGAAAACGGCATCCCCCAGCCTCTGGAGGCCCTCCGGAAACCGGAAACCGGAAACAGGCCCGTTTCTGGATTTTTGGTACTTCCGCTAGGCTCGTTTTATCCCCTCCCAGAGCCTCCAACGGACCCTGCATTTACCTGCATCGAAAATGGGCTGCTTGGAGGTTGATTGGATGGGAGGGGCCAGTCAGTCGATTCAAATACCGGTCCGGCAAACCAGATGCAAATTTAACATCCGGTTCGCCCTGAGCCGGTAAAACCCCACCCCCGATTCCAGGAGTGGTCTCATCAGTGCCACACAAAGCGGTACCAACGCTTCATCTGGTCTCGATGCTGTCCCTCTGTGGACACAGCTTCTGCCCCAACCTCTCAAGCAGGGGTCCTTACAGTGCACCCAGATCAGTGCACAAATTTGGTTCTGCAACCCAACAGGACACAGACTCCGGAGAGTAATTCGGACTGCAGAAAAAACAATTCCTACCAACCTGCCTTCCATGGAGGACCTATATCCTGCACAAGTCAAAAAGAGGGCTGTGCAAATATCTACAGACCCCTCACATCCCGGACATAAACTGTTTCAACTCCTTCCCTCAAAACGAGGCTATAGAGCCCTGCACACCAGAACAACTAGACACAAGGGGAGTTTTTTCCCCGAACACCATCACTCTGCTAAACGAATAATTCCCACAACACTGTCCAATTATTTACTAAGTCTGCATTACTATTACTGTTAATCTTCTCATCACTCCTTATCGCCCATCCCCTCCCACTTGTGACTGTATGACTGTAACTTTGTCGCTTGTATCCTTACGATTTATATTGACTGTTTCCTAGTAGGATTTGATTGCTTATTGAGCCCTATGAGTATCATTAAGTGTTGTCCCCGATGATTCTTGATTCTTGACAAATGTTTCTTTTCTTTTATGTACACTGAGAGCATTTGCACAAAAACAAATTCCTTGTGTGTCCAATCACATTTGGCCAATAAAGAATTCTATTCTATTCTATTCTATTCTATTCTATTCTATTCTATTCTAT